TGCTTATGAGACTAACACAAAGGTTTTAATGTTTGTTTTGGGTTTGATAAGGGCCTACAATGGTTCTAAGTTGTAGGTTGACTTTGTTTGACTTTGGTTTGACTTTTCTTTCGTTTAGTTTGACTTTTTTAGTTGACTGGTTTTGAATGCTTTTTAAAGTGAGTCTTCCGCTGTGTGTCTTTGATAATTGGCTTAACCGTTTTCACGGTGGCGGTAATGTCTTAGATATTTCCTATTTTGTATTTTAGAAAGAGCAATACAGGTATTCTAAAGAAAAAGAATTTCTTGGGTGTTACAAAGTGGTATTTGGTAGCTTTGGTTGAGATTTTTATTACCACTAAAACCAAAAACTGTTTTAAAATATGTCTTTTTAAAGGTGGCCAAGTGTTTACTTAATTGATTATTTTACAAAGTAAGTTGTTTTTATTTTATTCTACATAATTTATTTTTAAAGGGGACTGAATTTTTGTTTTTTTAATATATATATAGGTCCGATTTTATTTTTTTTTATTATTTTGGAAAATTCAAAAAAAAAAAATTTAACTTGGAGTGTCCGAATTTTTTTAATTATGGCCGAAAATTTTGGCCTTTTTGGAATTAATTTTTGAATTTTTTTTTTAAAAAAGGGAGTCAAAAATATATTTTGTTTGTTCATTGTGCAGGAAAGCGAAGGATTAAGGTAAGAATTATGTGTTAAGAGCTTTAAAAGCATGTTTGTGAGCTTGGGTAGGAAAGAATTTGGGACATATAAGTTAGAATTATCCATGTTCTTGTATGCATTAATACTTAGATTGTGATGTTTGTAAATTGATTAATTGGAAGCATGTAATTATGTGATTAGAAATAAGAAGATTGTTTGATTGAATATTGAACCTAAATTAATGCAAGAACTGTGTTATTTTATTTTCCTTTGGGTAAGGGAATTATTTTCTAAGTCTTTTCCTTTACAGGATGCCAATCATTCCTAGCAAATACTCACAAATTGGTACTCTAATTAAGAAAGACCATGACATCCCTTTGACTATGTCAAGAAAATTGGTTTCTATTGTTCACACATGGGTGATGTCCTAGGGGACAAGCAGTATGACCTTCCTGATCGTGTTTCAGCTATGATAATTCACTGTCTTCCTGACGAACCCCCATATCTTGCTGTCAAAGCAAAATTTGCTGGTTTCTACTTGCATGGGGACATTCCCAACTATTCCAAATACAAAGATTATTATGGACAGTGGTACCCTTACTACAGATACTTGATTTCTTATCTCGTTTGAGTAGAGAAGTATCACTGTGAGCGTGTACATTTCCATATCCAAATTACTACTACGATAAGCCAATAGATAATAATTCCCCTTCCACTAGCAATCAATCAGAAAATTCTTCCCCACCACAGGGTAATCAAGCAGGAGTGAATGGAGGGCAAGAGGAAGGAGAGCTAATGGATGAGAGTAATCATGCTATTGATAGTTCTATTATGGAGATTCCGAATCGAAATTCACCCCCAACTCCAATTATTATTGACATTTCATCTGACAATGAGGAAGATAAAGAGTTTATTCAAGTAGAGCAAAATCTAGAAACACCTGAACCAATGGAGGAGGAAGATGACCCTGAATTCGATCCTGGAAACTACAAACAATCAAAGGACAAGAAGGACAATGTTTGAAAGGATTATATTTTTAATTTTTAGTTTCATTTATTTTAGGATTCTTAGTTTCATTTCCGCAATTTTAATTTTCCTTTTCAGTAAAGTAATAAGTGGCATGACCACGGTGAGTCAATTAAAACTATTGAGTTGCATAGGTTATTCGAACTCATTTTATTTTATTTTTCCAGTCATTTTCTTTCTCAGCAATAAAATTTTATTCATTTCCTTGCCAAATAATTCATTTTATTGCCAAATAATTCATTTTATTCTCAAATCATTCATTTCATGTCACTACTCCAATGAGCCATTTCTTACTCAAATATTCCAATAATTCATTTCTAAACTCTGGGGAACATTTTTATTTATTATTGTGATGCTTTATTAAATGTATAATTGGTTAGCAATTAAAATTTGGTTGAACAAGCTGCAAGATTTGGGAGTTGTAATTTTGCAACCTCAATTTGTTAGCTTAAATTAAATGTGTGCGTATGAATGGTATAAGTTAGTTAGATGGGTGTCTAACTTGAGAGCTAACCATGATCATAATTAATAAAGACCCCCTTTTGTTCTAATTCAGGAGAAGAAAGATGGTAGGAGGAAATGGGAACAATAATGAAGGGAATGAGTTGAGTGAAGTTGTAAGGCAGTTGGCAGTGGTTGCTCAACAGTTAGCAAGAAACTCAACCAACAATGGGGATGCACAGGGGGAACTGTTTAAGAAGGTGGCGCAAAGCAAGCCACCAACCTATCAAGGCGAACCAGACCCAACGGTGTTAGAAAACTGGTTGAGGGAATTTGAGAAACTTTTTGGGGCAGTAGGGTGCCCAGAAAATTCAAAAGTGGGCTATGCTACCTATTGTCTCAGGGATGAAGCTGACCTTTGGTGGCAAAAAAATGAGACTACCATCAAAGTACTACCTGGTTTCAATTGGACTATGTTTCAGGAGAAGGTTAGGGACAAGCTTTATCCCAGTTTCCTACAGAAACAGAAGGCTGAGGAATTTTCTAACCTAGCAATGGGAGACATGTCAGTCATTGAGTACTATACCAAGTTTATTAAGTTGTCAAGGTTTGCCAAAGAGTCTGTTGCTACAAAAAAGGCGTAAGCTACGAAGTTTGAGAGTGGATTGACCACTGATCTTCAATTAAAGTTGTGTGGACAAGTGTTCGAAACACTAGATGAATTTTACGGGAGGTCTGCTCACCTTTATGCGTTGGAGTTGAAGAAAAAGAAGGAATTAGCTGAGGTGAAAGGGAAGGAAAATAGAAAAGAGATGGGACAGAACTTTGGAAACCCTTAAGGTAACCAAAACAACTTCAAGAAACAGAAATACCACCACAACAATAACAACTTCAACAGCAACAATAACTTCCATAATAACAATCGTCAGGATGGACGGAATTTCAATGGAGGGCCTAAGAACTCCAACCAGGGAAATAACAAGGGTCCAAGGCATTTTTACTACAAGAGGTGTAGAAACGATCACCCTGGTAAAGACTGTGAGGGTAACTTGGTTACTTATCGCGCTTGCAATAAGTTGGGACATAAGGAGTACGAGTGCTTCTCCAAAAATTCAAATCGCAAAAAGCAGGGAAATAATCAAGGAGGGGCACAAAGGAACTTTTAGGTAAACAATAACTATGTAGGGAAAAAGGGGCACAACAAAATGGGGTGAAAGACAACAATAGAGGGAATAATCAAGTGAAGAGTGGAGCTCTAGAAAAGCTGAATGTGATAAGTAGGCACGAAGCTGATACTACGAAGGATGTTATTACTGGTACTTTTTCTATCAACTCTATTCCTATTAAAGTTTTGTTTGATTCTAGTGCAACTTTTTCTTTCATTTCAAAATCCACTACTAGAAATAGGCCGATATCCGACGGACCAGTTCTGACGGATATGTTTTTCCGTCGTAAATTCCGACGGATTTTTATTCCGTCGGAATATTACGACGGATTTCCTACGGAACAATATTCCACCGGAATTTATGGGAATTCCGACGGAATATTCCGTCGGAAACTTAACGTTTCGACGGAAATAAAATCCGTCGGAAATTAAATCTGTCGAACCGTTACGTTTCCGTCGGAATATAATTAAATAATTAAAAAAAACTAACCTAAAAACACGGTCCTCTCCTCTCTCTTCTCCTCACTTTCAGTTTTCTTTTCTCTCTCCTCTCTCTTCGCCTCTACTCTTTCCCCTCTCTTTCTCTCGTTTCTCTGTCCTCTAATCTCCTCTTTCTCCCATCTTTTTCTCTCGTTTCTCTGTCATCTCCTCTCCTCTCCTTTTTCCTCTTCTCTTTCTTCTTCCATCTTCTTTCCCTTCTCCTCTACTGTCTCAACAACAACAAATTAAGGCAACCCATCACCCACCGTCTACAACAAATTACGGCAACCCACCTACCGTCAACAACACCAACGGCTACCCACCCACCGTCAACAACCACAACGACCAAGCGACAACCAACATCAACACAAACAATAACGGCGTAACTACCACCGTCATTCACTTTCAAGGTTTTATGTAATTGTAGATCTAGTTAATTTTTTTATGTAATTGTAATATTAATTATAAATTTGATTAGATCATTGTATTTCCTTTAATTTTTGTTGTTTAATTGTCGTTTTTTTTTCATTTGTTTAGAAATTCTAATTAAAAATGTAGATCTACTGATTTTCATTTTTTTTGTTTGGTATTTTTCGATTATGTTGTGTTAATTTTCGTATTTTTAGCATAATTTATGTTTTTTTGGGGTTAAATTCGTTTTTTTTAGGGTAAATGTTTGGTGTGGTGGTGTCGGTGGTGGTGTGTGAGGGTGGGATACCGGTTGTGTGGGTGGTATCGGTGGTGGTGGTTGGTGGATTTGGTTTAAATTTCGATTAAGGTTACGGTTGGTGGTTTGTTGTGGGTTAGAGTTAGGTGGGTTAAGGGTTAGGTGGTGGGTGTGTTAGGTTATGGTGGTGGGTGTGGTGGGTTAAGGTCGTGGGTCTGGTTACGGTGGTTGGTTTAGGTAAGGTGGTGGGTTTGGGTGAGGTGGGTTTTTATTTTTTATTTTTTTTAAACATTTTCCGACGGCATTTCCGTCGGAAGTTTCTGACGAATTTTTCCGGTGCCGGAAAACCTCTTTCGACGTATATAATTTCCAACGAAAAAGGTCATTTTTCCTACAAAACCGTTTCCGACAACCGGTGCCGACAAATTCCGTCGGAAACACCTTTTTCGACGGAAAACAGGTTGTTTCCGACGGATTTTTGCCGTCAGAAATGGGTTGTTTTCTAGTAGTGAGCCATTGTTTCAAAGCTACCGCACTGTTTGAAAACCGTAGATGTCATAGATGTACCTATAGTTATTCCTATGGGAGGGGTAGTACAGTGTACCAAAACCTTTAAGGATGTGTCATTAGAGATCAGAGGAAAGGTGTTCTTGTTTGACCTCATTGAATTTGGGTTGAGTGACTTTGATATCATCTTGGGAACGGATTGGTTGAGCAAGTATAGTGCGCAGATTCGTTGTCGATCGCAGAAAGAGGAGTTAAGTACAGTTGAGGGTGAGTTGGTAACACATTGGAAGCATTTTGAAGAAAAGTGCCCAAGGATCATCTCAATGATGAAGTTGGCTAAGTATATTAAGAAGGGACATCCAGTATATTTTTATAATGTAAGGAACTTGGAACACGAAGAGACAATTAAGCCTGAGAACATAGACATGGTAAATGAGTTTCTGGATGTGTTCTCAGAAGAGATTCCAGGAATGCCACCTAAGAGGGCAATTAATTTCACAATAGAGTTAGTCCCAGGGACACCGATTTCCAAGGCACCATATCGAATGGCACCTCCAGAAATAAGTGAGTTAAAGGAGCAACTGTAGGACTTACTAGAAAAGGGGTACATAAGACCAAGTGCATCGCCTTGGGGAGCTCCAGTGTTGTTTGTTAAGAAAAAGGATGGAAGTATGAGGTTATGTATTGATTATAAGGAGTTGAACAAGGTCACTGATTAGGGGATTTTGCTCCCACCAATCGAAATGCGCCACGTGGGCCAATCAGGTCCTGCCAAGTGTCCCCCAGTTGGAACTGTCAGGGCTTGCCACGTGGCACACGCTTATTCGTCCACCTTGGACCTATTATGTCATGACACGTGGCATACTCCATGCCTAATGGAGAAACCGGCCACCCAGGCCCAACTTCCGAGGGAAGCCCAATCAGCCCTAGGTTAACCTAAACCTAGGATAGGCACGTTTCCCAAGGTTATAAATACCTCCCTTAATCCTCATTAAGGGGGATTACGCAAAAGATTAAGCAATTGATGACTCTCACCTAGAGAAGTCTAAACACATTGATCACTCTTCCCCTAGAGGAACCAGATCTCCCACCTTTAATTTCCGCATTAATTACTCCTCACACAAGTACTAACTTGATCGTTGGAGGCGGAGCTCCCACCACAAGGAGTCTCCGTTGTTTTGCAGGTACAGGCGTCCGGTTCCAGTCTCGGAATTGTAACTCTCCCGCAGGACATCAAAAAACCCCAAAACATTTGGCACCGTCTGTGGGGAGAGTACTTCTGAGATGGCATCCACGTTTGTACCGACTCCTGAAGAGAGACGTCCCCTGGACGACCCTCTAGTTCAGTCGGACCACGATACTGAGAATGAATTTGAAGTTGAAGCTCACACAGCTTCAGACGGGACCCTAAGGGCCCGACGTACCCGTCATACCGAAAGGAGGGAACGGGAACATCTTCATACAGGAAGCGAGCCAGCAGGCGCACCGCCTGTTCGGCAACAGCCGACTGATGGGTCTGCTCCCATCACAAGGAGTGAACTCATGACCTTCATGAGGGAATTCAAGGGAGAAATTCAGGAGTTGATCAACAAGAAGCCGCCTACTCTGGACAAGGAGCAGTCGGCTAAGAAACCCTCCACTTCACAGAAGAGGAAGCCAGTTCAAGGGCGAGAGGCGACTCCTCATCCTAAATCTAGGAAGCGGGAGCCGACTGCCCTTGATTTCACAAAATACCGTTTTCCTACTCCAGGAAATAGGAAACATGTTCGTCATATTCAGGCGGACGGGTCGAGGAAATCATACACAGACGCTTGGCTACTGCTAGAGCAGAAGAAGAGTGACCGATTGTCAGAGTCGGCCTCTACTTCAAACTTCCAAGACAGTCTGCGAAATACCTCGATGAGGCATACTCAGTCGTATCATGAGAGTCAGTCAGGCGGCACCTCCCGTCAGTCCGACTTTCATAGCGACCAGGCGGTACCAAACTTACCGTTTGTACCACAACAACAGTATTTTTTACGGCCACCTCCGTTTGGTGGACATGCAGTAAAAAACGTCCAACTTATGGACTGGCAGCTACGGTTGCTTAGACTTGGCGAACAGCTGTCGGCCTTCTCCAAGGAAATTACTGAAGCCGCTCAGCCGACCAAAGTGAAAAATGTATTAGTAGGCGCCTATGACGGCACTACTAACCCAGAAGACCATCTGATGGCATTCACCAACCTGATGTACCTTCAAGGGTTGGATGATCCCACTTGGTGCAAGTGTTTCCCAGCGACTCTCAAAGGAATCGCACAACAATGGTTCGGCAACCTTCCGACTGGTTGTGTAAATAACTTCAAGACGCTTGCTTACTTATTCACCTCCAACTTTGCCATGAACATCCCTGCGAAGAAGACGATCCTTGATTTAGGAACAATTCAGCAGGGCGAGAAGGAGGGGCTTCGTTCTTACATCAGGCGGTTTAACCTGATGAGAATACTATACTGACTTTTTCAGAGGTCTCAAAGACGGGTCGACCTTCAAATTTGATTTGGTCCGAAAGAGGGTGGCGACTCTTCAAGAGGCCTTGATTGAAGCGGAAGCCTATATACAGGCGACTGATCTTTGTAGTACGGTAAAACAGTCGGACAGGAGAAGGTCCGACAAAAGAGAAGGACGACAGAAACAGTCGTCAAACAAAGACGAGAAGAGAAAAGAGGTCTGGGCGGCTGATTCCTCTAAACAGCCGGCCCAGAAAAAGAAAAAGAATTCAAACCATACTCCCCAAAGTATGTGTTTAACAAGGATAGCCAATTTATCCTAAAGGAAATCAAGGGACGGATCTCAATTGAGAAGCCGGTCCCCATGAAGGGTTCTGCAAACTATCGGAACCAAGAAAAATTCTGTGATTATCATGAAGATGTTGGTCATCACACCAATGACTGCATCAGTCTCATGCGGTATCTGGACCGCTTGGCTGAGCAAGGTGATCTTGACACTTATGTCAAGAAATCTACGGGGAACACTTCCTCGAAAAAGCAGTCGGCCAAAAAGAATCAACAGGCCGACAGCTCCGACAGAGATGATGCAGTCGTCTACACCATTGCAGGCGGCTTCTCAGGAGGCGGCCCCACTATTAGGGGCAACAAAGACAATATCAGACGGTTAGATGTAAATTCCGTTCACCAAGAACGGCCCTCCAAATATTCATTTCCTGAGATTGTCATCACTGAAGAAGATCTAGGAGGGGTAAGAGGGCCGCATGACGACCCTATCGTTATTGAATGTAAAGTGGCCAACCAGAGAGTTGGCCGAATCCTCATAGATACCGGAAGCTCCTCAGATCTCATCAGTAGCAAATGTCTGTCGAAACTAAAATATCAGACCGATTGCATACATCCGGCATCCCACCCTTTAGTAGGGTTTGGAGGAGGAGTCGTCCACCCAGTGGGACGAGTGGATTTACCCGTCCGCCTGGGCAAAAAAGGGGAAGGACGACACATGGTAGTCCGGTTCCTGGTAGTGGAAGAACTCTCGGCCTACAACATGATTCTGGGACGACCAACCCTGAATAATTCCAAGTTTGAGAGGGATAATGGAACAGTCGGGTCCCTAAGGGGAGATCAGAAGATGGCCCGAGAGTGCTATCTCTCGGATGTCAAGCCCACTGTTATGGCCACTGGGTCAAGTGGTGGAAAAACAGACCTTGACAATGTCAAGGAGAGTGCGCCTGTTCAAGAAGCAGGCGGCAAGAAGAGAAAGGCAGCCCAGACGGGGGCCGCAAGAAAAGACAGAAAATAGCAATCATTGGCAGAGGAGCGGTCGGATGAATTCTGCCCTCAGCCGGCTGGTGAGCATACGGACCTGATCTTAGACGACTCGCGTCCTGACCGAACAGTCAAAGTTGGGACGACTGCTCTGAGAGTCCTGGGTGACGATTTGCACAAACTATTGAAAGAATACAAGGACATCTTTGCATTCGAAGTCCACGAAATGCCAGGCATTAGTCCTGACCTGGCGGTACATAAGCTGGTTGTGGATCCGAAAAAGAAGCCGGTAAGGCAGAAGAAGCGGAACCATGGCGAAGAAAGAAATCAGGCGGCAGCCGCCGAAGTTAAAAAATTACTTGATGCAGGATTCATTCGGCAATGTTACTTCCCAGATTGGGTTGCAAATGTGGTGCTTGTTAAAAAGCCGAATGACACCTGGCGAATGTGTGTAGACTACACAGACTTAAACAAGGCGTGCCCCAAAGACAGTTACCCTCTTCCTAAAATTGATAACCTAGTCGACTCAACAGCCAGCCATGCTTTGATGAGCTTTATGGACGCCTACTCTAGTTTCCATCAAATTCCTTTATGGAAGAAAGATCAGGAGAAGACGGCCTTCGTCACTGATCAGGGGTTATACTATTACACGGTCATGCCGTTTGGTCTTAAGAATGCCCCGGCCACTTTCCAGCGAATGATAAACACTGTGTTCTTTGATCAAATTGGAAGAAATGTCAAGGCATATATTGATGATATGATTGACAAGTCTAAACTTCAGAAAGATCATCTGTCGGACCTCTGAGAAACTTTCGCCACACTCAGGCGGCACCATGTCATGCTCAATCCCAAGAAATGTGTCTTTGGAGTTGAGTCTGGGAAATTTCTCGGATTTCTTATCAATCAGAGAGGAATAGAGGCAAACCCTGAGAAGGTGCAGGCGGTCATTGACATGCAGTCGCCTCGTACCATCCGAGAGGTTCAGAAGTTAACAGGTTGTCTGGCGGCCTTGGGAAGATTTCTAAGCCGATCAGGCGACAAATGCCTATACTTTTTCCAGGCAATTAAGAAAAAGGCAAGGTTTGAATGGGGGCCGAATGCTGAGGCGGCCTTCCAGAAATTGAAAGTTCACTTGCATTCCTTGCCGAGGCTGGTCAGCCCTTTGCCCAAAGAAGTACTCTACATGTACCTGGCCGTCTCTGATCATGCGTTAAGCGCTGTTCTCCTTGCTGAAAGAGACGGCTGTCAGCTCCCGGTCTACTTTGTCAGTCATGTACTGAAAAATGCCGAGTTGAGGTATCCCTTAGTGGAGAAATTTGGTCTTGCACTCTTCATGGCTGTTAAAAAATTGAAGCCCTACTTTTTGGCACATGCAGTCGTCGTGTATACAGACCAACCTATCAAGCGGCCACTGACCATCATGGAGTCGTCAGGCCAAATGATCAAATGAGCCATAGAAATACAGAGCCTCGAAGTTACCTTCGAGCCTAGAAAAGCAGTGAAGGGGCAAGCCTTTGCTGACTTTATTGTTGAGATGACTCGTCCTCCTGACTCTCAAGTTCCAGACCAAGTCTGGAAGGTATATGTGGATGGAAGCTCTACTTCAAATGGTTGTGGAGCAGGCGTCATATGTCAGTTGCCAGAGGGTGACAAGTGCGAGTATGCTCTCCGCTTCAGTTTTCAGGCCTCAAACAATGAGGCAGAATATGAAGCTTTACTAGCCGGAATCCGCATGTGCAAGGCGGCAGGGGCAAGAAAAATAGACGCCTGTTCCGATTCACAATTGATAGTGAGTCAGTACAATGGCGAATACGAAGAAACCCATCCGGCCATGATCA